GCACCCACCGATATCGAACAATGAAGCGTTTGAAAAAGGGTCCCATCGTAACCTGACTGCAAGCGTCGTACTGCAAAAAGCACCGCTCAAAGTGCACATAGGTAATCAACAAACCGTCGCTCCCGATATGTGTGTGTGTGTGTGCGCGTGTGTGTGTGTGTGTGTGTGTGTGTGTGTGTGTGTGTGTGTCTCTACCACACACACACACACACACACACACACACACATAGATTCGTCATTGCGAGAGTCCCCGCTACATTCAAATGCGGCCATGAAGATCGAACTGGTTACCATTCCCTCACTTGCTTGACGGATTCATGTCGTCGCCCCCCTCCTCACGTCGTCCACCTCCTCCCCCCACACGCCTCGCCATCACCTCGACCAGAAGCTGCAGCACAGCGTTACCGTCCTTCATTGCACTGGCTACCGCACCGATTTGAGTGGCCATTTGCTGTGCACCTTTTGTATTCGCCAGGGCGAGAGTCCCCGCCGCATCCCCGAGACCAGCGCATAGAGTGAGTGTCGACTCCTCCATGGAAAACCGTGAACCGGATCTCGAAGAGCTGCACCCTTCCTCCGCCGAGGCTTTCCCTCTCTCAGTCCGGCGGGAGTTCCTGCTGCTTTCAGAATCTTCCTGTGGGGTGTCAGGGGAGGTTCCGTTATCTGAACCCCCGCTATGTGCACCAGGCAACGCGGAGGACTCCATCGTGTTGTCGCACATGGTTGACCTCTTCCCCTGCACCCACGCCATCTCGTCCCACAACTCTTCCTCAAAAAGGAATGTCAAGCCCTCCCTCTTCTTGTCCTTGGCCGACATGTCCCAGAATGACGGCTTCCCAGACCCCCCGCACTTGTCGTGGATCTCCCTGTACTTGTTTTGCAGGTCAGCCCATTTCTTCCCCACATCCTCCGCCGATCGGTGATACCCATCCTCCTTCATTCGCCTCGCCACCCAATCATTCCTCACCGATCGCCGCTGGTGTTTTTGTCTCGGCTGGACGGCCGCCATCATTGCGTCATCCTCTCGCATGTATTTTGCCAGTGCCAGCCGCTCCTCCAAAGACCACGACTTTTTCTTTTGCTTCCCTCCTTCACCGTCGTCCTCGGTATCACCATCGCCGGCCGGGGACCGAGGTGCAGCGCTGCCGGCCTTGACGTGGCTTTCGCCCGATCAGCCGAGCACCGGTACTTGAAGGAGTGGAGGTCGCAGGAGGATGTGCGTCAATGGGGTGTTGTGTGCCCTGGCCACACTGTGCAGTGCTTACAGGTTCGTTATCCGGGGCGTCGCAAGACATGCTCACCGGATGCTCGGACATCGCCGGGAATGGGTACCCCTCCGTGGGCGGTCGGAAGCTGTTCAAGGGAGGTGTGTCCGGAGGCACGGATGGAGCTGCATTCGACGGTGGCCTTCCTCCGTCGTCGAAACGCGCGCGTTCGAACTGACCGGCCATTCCATAGCCTCGCCAGTCGTTGCGCTGATCATAAAACGCCGCCTCCCCGGCCATTGGCGGATGCATTCCTGTCGACTGCCCAACCCCCTGTGCCAAACTCGCAACTGTAGCCGACAACAACGATGGAGGAAGTGGTGAGTATCTCATAGAAGTCGATCGCCCAAGCTCCGTTGGATCATGATTCCAAACCGGGGGTGGGCGATAATAGCCCGGGTATGAATTCGCTGGTCGCATGTTGTTCATGTCCGAAGGGGACGATGACAAACCCCCGGCTAGCTGACTCTCGAATCGCCCGTTGTTCTCTCTCTCCACACCGGCCCTCCTACGAGGATTGGCCGTGCTCATACAGTCCTGTGACCACTGACGACAACTCATGTCATCACTGCCCTCCATCTCCCTATCCTGCAACCTCCCCGCACGGACCACTCCACAAACCTGTCTATATGGCTATCTATCTATCTATCTATCTATCTATCTATCCATCTATCTATCTATCTATCTATCTATCTATCTATCTATCTATCTATTTATGTGTCCATGTATCTATCGCAAGTTGTATGTATACACCTTGTAATACGTCCACCCATCTGTCTCTGCATGTGCCTCACCGACGCATCAGAAAGTACAAAGCACCAAGACCTACTAATGTGAATACAACAACGTTTGCAAAAAACAACACGAGAACACCCAACATAAGAACGAAAATGACGGACATCACGGGCCGAACTACACCCGCCTTGCAACCGTCGCAGTCGGCCAAACTTTCAACGACAACGAATATGGGACGACGACATCCACAACAGCAACACGGGCAGACGTGTGGACGCAGCTCACGATGTGGCAATGAGTTGCAAGCCACGCCTTCACGGTTTCTCACGACAACTGGCAGACGCTCCGTCGCACGGGATGTGCACGTGTCAACAGCAGACAACGACGGCCGACGGACCTGCCACCCGCGACCTCCCCGCCCACTCAGAACTGCCGAAACGAATCCTTCGTCCCAACATTCGGACCCCGCGTGCACAACGTCGCCGACGATCTCCTTAGGCCGGCCCACCAGCGATGGCGGGATGAAAGGCAGCACCTTCTCGCACAGTCTGGCCGCGCTCCGACTGAAAACACTCTGCGGCTGAGGCACGCGTGAACGTGTCTGGCACGCCGCGTTTCCGACACAACGCTTCGCTTGATGGAGAGCGGACGTTGGATTCGGAAGACGAAGCAGCCAACCCCCCCACGACGTGCGTGCAGCTTTCGGGAACGATCCGTACATGGCTACGGAGACTGCCATTCCACGCACTCTACATGCCGACACCGGACGAAGGACAGCGGCTTCTGCATGCAGTTGGCCTACGTGCTTGTTGTGGCGATACGGAGGCGGGCGACGGAAATTCGAAATCGCAGGGCCGTTGGAACGCGGGAAAATTTCAAAACCCATATTTACGAGGCCCTCCCCACCCCAGACGGTGCCACGGTCCAGGGCCCAACGGTCACCGTGCGACAACAACCCTTGTTCGGCTTGAGGCCCGCTGGACCGAACACTGGACCGGTACATGTCCGCTTTGCAGGTGCCCGACTTCCGTCTGAATGACCCGGAGTACGCACCCAAAAGGTAGGTAAACGGACCCCATTTTGGAAAACGGGAATTCAGGGCCACGTAGGAGTGAGGGGGCCGCGGACCGAGTGGAAACAGTCGGCCGACGACTTCCGCGATGCTGAAATCCATCTGTGGGGTCTCAGAAGTTGGCTCAGAACTTCCGAAACCGTTTGCTGCGGTCCTGTGGGGTCCTACCCTTAGATTCAATTCAACACCTTGAAGTAAGATTAGGGTCGACCCTATTTCGCTGAAATTTAAGGCGAAGCACATTCGAACTCCTGACCTTGCTTTACCAAAACAGGTTTTTTTTCTTTTTTTTTTTTTTTTTCTTTTTTTTTTTTGCTTGACCAAGCCGCTTTGGGCCTCGTTCCACACCACTAAAGAATCCTTACTTTGTAAGGGCGCCCTAACTCGGCGAAGGTGATTAAGTTGCCCTAACTTTTTTTTTCGTTCCACAACACCCTAGGAAGACCCTACACTTACCCGCCCTTACTTTTGAGGTGGGGAGGCGCGGGTGTCAGAACCTCGGCCTGTCGGGCACGGATGTTCGTGAAGCCGGTGTGGCGGACAAGAAGTTGTCCATGGTCTGCGTGCCCGTGGGACATGAATTTTTTGGGACACCAACGTTTTTTGTGGGTGGCGTACCGGGTGTGCGAAGACGGTCGTCGTCGATATGAAAAGTGCACGCAGCAAAGCAAATTTGAATTCAAATTCGCACCGACCTCCATCCGCACCGCCCTCTCCCGTGATCCGTTGTTCTTTCCGCCTTGGGACCTCGGTGGCCATAGCCCGCCAGCCGACAAGTGGGGTGTGTGCGTCGTTGCGGTTGGTTAGGGGCGATGGAAGACGGTGGTGGTGATGCGCCTGGGGAGCGGAGGCTGACACAAAGGGAGAGGTCGCTGTTAGGGACGGCGTTGCTCGCAGTTTCTCGACACATGCAGACAGTGAACAACCTGCGGCGGGCCAGCGGAATAGAGAGGGGCAGACGGGAGGCCGCCATAGCCCAGGCTCTGATGGACGTGCACTCCTCGCCAGGTCTATGGGATGCACCGGTCCTGTTGCCGAACGCCATCATGGCGGGTGTGATGCCCAGGGAGTCACCAAGGTGGTGGGTGAAAAGAAGGACGGGGGGGACATGGAGGGACCTCAGTATCGCCGACGATGCAACCGACTAGTACTTCCATGACAAACTGCGTATGACGCGGACGGTGTTCAATGACATTGTGGCGGTGTGCAGTCCTTTCCTTCAACGCAGACTGACTCACTATCGGGAGCCTTTGCAGCCCGACCATATCGTGGCGTACGCATTGTACCGATGGGCGTCCGGGGAGACTTTCGAAAGCAGCACTTCGTCGTTCGGCATAGGGAGGTCGTCGGGCATCAAGGCTGTCCAAGACGTAACAAATGCCATTTTGGCCGCACTTTCCGGAAAAGATTGCAATTCCAAGTGGTCGTCGTCTCTTACAGGTCATCCGAGCTTTCAGCGGGAAAGGTTTTCCGAATTGCTTCGGCGCCATCGACTGCACCCACATTTATATGGACAAGCCTGCCAACGCGCCATCCGAAAACTACTTCAATCGAAAGCAACAATTCTCCGTCGTGGCGCAGGTTATCGTCGACCTGGACATGTGGGTTATCGGCGTCTTTGTCAGTTATCTGGGGTGTGTCCACGACCAGCACGTGCTGCGGAACTCCTCTCTCATCAGGCGAGCAGAGGCAGGCGAGATCTTCAACGCGGACCCGATCGTCCCCCTAGGAGGGGTGAGGACAACGGGGTACCTGCTGGGGGACAATGGTTACGCCCCGCGGACGTGGATTGTCGTTCCACACGGGGGCTCGGAGCAGGCGGGGGACGTCGACCACGAGGGGGGTCATCGAGAGAGCGTTTGGGCACCTCAAGGGGATGTGGAGGTTGTTTCTTCGTCATCACAAGACGAACATGAATAACCTTCTGCGACAATTCATTGCCGTGTGCATCATCCACAACCTCCTGATTGAGGACGGGGTTCCTTTCGACGAGGGTCTTTTGGTAGACCGCGATGGGGATGGGAACCTCGTCCCCATAGACCTCGGTTTGCAGGATATGTCGCATCCTGTCTCCCAGGCAAACGCCACGGAGGCTGCCCTCGCTTTGCGTGACGGTCTCCACATGGTCAACGAATAGGAAGTTCTCGAAAGCATCGTTAGGGTTGTGTGTGTACGTGTGTGTGTGTGTGGGGTGGGGTGGGGTGGGGGGGGGGTCGAAAATATTTTTGCGGTAGACTGTGCGAGTGCGATGTGGGTGTTAAGACATTGGTGGAAACGTTTCGTTACTAGTGAATTGTGTTTTGTGTT